CGACGACGAGAGACCCGACGAGAACGACGAGATGAGAACGAGAAGAGGACGACGAGATGAGAACGAGAAGAGGACGACGAGATGAGAACGAGAAGAGGACGATGAGAACATTTATGACGACGAAACGAGAAAGACGAGATGAGAACGACGAGATGAGAACGACGAGATGAGAACGAGAAGAGGACGATGAGAACACGACGACGAGAGAACACGACGACGAGATGAGAAGGACGACGAGATGAGAACGACGACGAGATGAGAACGACGACGAGATGAGAACGACGAGAACACGACGACGACGACCTCGCGGCTGCTCCCGCACCGCGCGGACGCCGCCCGACGACGTCCGCCCTCGGACGCCGCCGCCGACGCCCCGCGCGTCGGCGTCGACTTCCACACTGCACATAGCCGCCCAGGCGGCACCCGCCACACCTGCTTGCACCCCCTCCCCCGCGCGCGCCGGCCTCCAGGCCGCCGCGGCGACTCGCAGCCACCTGCGCCTGGCAGCCCCGGCCATCGCCTCCGTGCCACGGGCGGCTGGATGGACGCCCCGTCCCGCCGCCACCCAGAGCGTAGAACGATAGATAGTGTAGTAGAAAAAAGCGGCGTCCGGGTCGCGCCGGGAGGTATGTGCACGCGCGGGGCGGCGCCCGCGCTAGACGGTGTCGGCGAAGTCGTCCTGGATGGAGAGGTTCTGGTAGTGCGTCTGGTCGGCGCCCTTCGTCTTCCAGATCTTGTGCTTCGCCCGGCGGTAGGCGGCGACGATGGACTCCGGCGGCTCCTCGCCGTCGTCGATCTTGTGGTCGTCCTCGTTCTCGCCCGTGTACGAGTTGATCGCCTTGATGAAGAGGACCTTCGACAGGTCCTGGAGGAGGAAGAAGGCGACGTCGAAGGCCCAGACGGCGACGACGACCTCGGCGCCGATGGGCTCCATGCCGTCGGACTTCTTGGGCCAGGCCAGCGAGATGACCGTGGACAGGAACGTCGCGACGAACGCGGCGGCGAAGAGGAACGTGCCCGGCGCGCGCGACCAGAAGGGCCCGCGCGTGCGCGCGGAGAAGACCGTGAGGAAGTCGGACACGGAGATCTTCAGGTACATGGCGCACATGAGCTGGCCGTAGGACAGCGCCGGCAGGCCGAAGCCCCGCCAGACCGAGCCGTCGGACCGCGAGTCGAGCATGACGTGCAGCAGGAGCAGCGACGACACGCAGGCGACGCCGCCTAAAATGAAGGCGATGGCGAAGGTCTGGGGCATGCGCCACTTCTCCGGGAACTTGGACGGCTTCACCGCGTCGTAGGCGATGGAGATGATCGTGCCGTCGTTGAGGATCGTGATGAGCACGAGGACCACGACCGGCAGCTTGAAGACCTTGGGCGGCTGGGCCTCGTCGTCGAGGGTGTCGTCGTCCCAGCCGCCGTAGCCCGTCGGGTCCCCGAACGGCTACACGTGCGACGGCGTCACCAAGACGTGCGCCGTCAACAAGTACGTCGACAACAACGAGTGCCTCGAGTGCCCGGCTAGCGCGAAGTGCGACGGCGTCAACGCCGTGTGCGATGACGTCAACAAGTACGTCGAGAACAACGAGTGCCTCGAGTGCCCGACCGGCTTCGCGTGCGACGGCATCGACGCGACGTTCTCTCCGACGGACCTGAACGAGCTCAAGATCGCGGTCAACGGGTGGATCGACGACGCTTGGAGCGCGGAAGCCAAGTACGGGCACATCAGCTCCTGGGACACGTCGTCCGTGACGGACATGAGCAGCCTGTTCTCTGTTTATGACGGTTGTAACTGCATCGCCTTCAACCAGGACATCGGCGGCTGGGACACGGCGTCCGTGACGGACATGAGCGACATGTTCTACGGCTTTTACGGCTTTTACGCCTTCAACCAGGACATCGGCGCCTGGGACACGTCGTCGGTGTCGGACATGAGCTCCATGTTCGAAGAAGCTTACCGCTTCGACCAGGACATTGGCGGCTGGGACACGTCGTCCGTGACGGACATGAGCGACACGTTCTTTAGAGATTCCGCCTTCAACCAGGACATCGGCGCCTGGGACACGTCGTCCGTCACGGACATGGTCGGCATGTTCGAAGAAGCTTACCGCTTCAATCAACCCATCGGCGACTGGGACACGTCGTCCGTGACGAACATGGGCTACACGTTCGCCTACGCCGACTTGTTCGTCTATGCTTCCGCCTTCGACCAGGACATCGGCGCCTGGGACACGTCGTCCGTGACGAGCATGAGCTGGATGTTCTACGAAGCCGCCGCCTTCGACCAGAACATCAGCGCCTGGGACACGTCGTCCGTCACGGACATGACCAAGGCGTTCTTCAACTCGGGTCTTCAGGATTGCCCGTCCTGGGCCGACGAGACCGCGGAATGCCCCCATGCTAACTAGGGCGCACCTCCCTCGACGACTTCAAGCTCACTCGCCGGTCGCCTCCCCCCCCTCACCCCGCCCACACCCCTAAGACCACACCCGGAGCGTGGCGCCGTCGATGGCGGCCTCCGGGCCCGAGCGCCCGAACGCGCCGGCCTCCCGGCCGTCGGCGCACGTGCCTGAACGGTCTTCAACCCCTGATTCGCGCGCCATATCCGTCGATCGTCGCCGCGGAACCGCGTCGATTCCCCCGCAGGCACTCGCAGACTCAACCATGCACGTCATCGTCCGCGCGCTCTTGCTTCCCTGGATCGTCACCTTCGCCGCGGCGGCGGGGGTCGTCAAGCTGAACACGAAGGCCGACCCGGTCGAGGCCGTGGTCGAGGTCTTCAAGCACCTCCATCCGGCGGCCTCATCGGCCGCGCTCGCCGTCGCGAAGAACGGGGTCGCGTCGGTGCTCAAGGGCCTCGAGGCGTCCGACACGAGCACCGAGAACGTCGCGT